TTCCATCCTTCCTTCTAAACATTATCTCATTACTGTATAAAAGCACATCACAATAGGACAGATGGTTTACTTTAATTTATCACAACAAACCATATCTTACCACATCTTACCATATGGTAATAAACTAAATCACAACAGGAGTTATGGTTTAATCCATTCTTTAACAACAAACCATAGCTTACCACATCATACCATATGGTATTAAACTAAAACAAAACAGGACTTGTGCATTACTACATTTTGTAACATTAAACCATAGATTTATATAATCTTAACATAGCTTACCATATCTTACCATATGGTATTAAACCAAAAACAAAACTGGAATTGTGGATTACTACATTTTGTATGATTAAACCATAGATTTATCTAATTTTACCATATCTTACCATATTTTACCATATGGTAACAAATTAGATGACTACAGTAACATCATATAACAGTAGAAGTTTTAAGATGATGACTTACCTCTTGACAAATTTCTTGTTCTTGCATCTTATGTACTCCAGGATGTTGCTGAACATATCATCAGGTGTTGTTTGTGTTGGTGTTGACCATTCAACTTGTGATCTTTGTGATTGTGGAGCAACTGGATCAACAGTTGGAGTATTCATGTCCTCTAGGTAAGCATCTATACATTCACGCACTTCCTTGAGCTTCTCTTGGCTGTTTGTGTACAGATTTGACCATATAGCATATGATTCCTTCTGTGACTGGGTGCTTTGTGGGTGTGTTGGTGGTGGTGTTCTTCTTGCCTTCTTTTCATATACATTCAAATTCTTCACCACAATTCTTCTTTTGCGAGGCTCTCCTGGTTGATTGGTTGCCGTGGTGGTAGTCAACTTTGTTGGTGTTGTTGGTGTTTGATCTTTGAGAGGGCTGAGATCGAAGGATGGAATGTCATCTTCCCTTGTCATTTTAGGCTTGTCAGCAGTTTTGGTTGTCAATTTTGGAGTCTCTTCTCGAACAACATCATCTGACATTGTTTTCTCGCTGTCAGTTTCTGTAGTCTTTTGTGCAGCTTGCCCTGTATTCCCTTCTTCTGTTGTTTCCTTATCAACATCCATTGGATCTGCTGTTTTTGTAGCTCCTTTTTCTTCTGTTTCTTTTGCAGATGTCTGTTCTGGAACTGCTTTCGGGGTGTTCTCTTGTTGTGGTGTTCCCTGATTCAGATCTTCTTGAACAACTGGTGGTTCTGTTACAACTTTCCCCAGTGGATCTCCTTCTTGGATGCTTTCCTTATTCACAGCTCCTGGAGCAGAATCATCTTGCTCCTTCGGTGTAGATGCAGCAAGATCGACTGTAGATGGTTGTGAATCATCTTCTTTCTGTGTTTTCTCCTCGTTCTCCTCTTTGTTCTTGTCTATCTTTGCCTGTTTGAATATTTCATTGATTGTTTTATCCAAACTGGCATTCATTTCTTCATCATTCTCTTCTTCATCATCTTCACACTGAGATTTTTCTCCTTCTGTGGGCTGAACATATTCATCACAGCTTTCTTTCTCAAGATTCTCCTTGTGTCTGATCAGATTCTCAATTTGGCTGTTGTACTGGTCTTTGATTGCTTTCATCATTGCCTTCATTGATGCTTCAAGCAGTTTGATTGCATTCTCAGCCTGCATAATGGGAGTTTTGTAAGATACCATGGTGGTAATGTGTGTATGGTGTATGGTTAGTTACCATGGTGGTAATACATGGTATTGGCAATTATTATCACTATTCTCCATTTTTATAACATGAAACCATATCTTACCACATGGTAACAAAGTAAAACAGAACAAGAATTATGGTTTCCTCCATTTTTATAACATGAAACCATAGCTTACCACACCTTACCATATGGTAACGAAGTAAAACACAACAGGACTTATGTTTTCCTCGATTTTTATAACATGAAATCATAGCTTACCACTCCTTACCATATGGTAACAAACTAAAACACAACAGGACTTATGGTTTCCTCCATTTTTATAATATGAAACCATAGCTTACCACACCTTACCATATGGTAACCAACTAAAACACAGAAGGAATTACGGTTAGCATGTATTTGGACAACTGTAATATAGATAATTTGTACTTACTTGGTTGACTGTTCTGATATTCTTCAAATCAAATTTCAGTGATGATGACTGGTCTGGAGTTTTGTTTCTTTGTCTTTTCGGTGACTGATAGACTGGCTCATTCGCCTCTTCCTCATCAGTTGCATCATCAGCCTCATCATCATTAATGTTGGCAACCTTTTCGATCTCGGTCAACTCTTTTCCATTGTAGTAGCTCTTAATGTTCTCAAAGTTTGTTTCGACATTGAGATCATCATAGTAGCTTACTATTGGTGTTCGAAGTTGGGTTGATAATGCCATTTTGTCCAGTTTGTACATGAAGCATACATTTTTTATGCAGATAGTTGTATTAGTTTTTTCAAAGATTATCATTTATATGTAAAATATATGAGTAACAAGGTTGAAATGGCCAAGGGAATGGAGACTTACTGTAAGAAAGTGAAGATCTGCACTGACATAGAGTTTTGGTGATTTCAATCCTTCATTCATGTGTTTGAAGAAGTATTTGCACCAGTTGTAGCTGGTGAAATGTTTCAGTTCTTCAGTCTTCAAGTACTCAAGCATGTTGAGTTCAGCCATAGGTGCTGAAGTTGGACACAGCAAGCCTCCGGTGACCAGCAGAAAGAACAATTGCATCCATCTCTTACTGTTTGTGGTTGTAGGAAGATCTTTTTCTACCTGACTTAGCTTTACCCTTGGAGTGGATGTTCCATCTACTTCGAGTAGGGTTTCTACTGCATAATCTGCTGCGTCATCCCAAGAAATCATGGGAGGTACAACTTCCCTATTCCCCATCGGCAGACCATATACTCTATGAAAGTCAATTGGTGATATCTTCATGCGTGTCCCGTCAGGTAGCTTGAACGATTCTTTCATTGGATTGTATTTGTTCATTACGAACAGAGCAAAATGATTGTTTATCTTTGTCTGCCTGATTGATATTAAGCCTGCTAGGCCTAATATCTCAAGTTGCGCTTTCCGCTCATCTGTTATTGACCTTGCAATTGCATATATTCTTGTTGGGCTGCACCTTGTGCGAAAACTTTGTCTTGGTTTTACCATAGTGTACCTGAATGTAGAAATTAGTAATAGTCTGTTAGTATGCTTTTTACCATAATATACCATATGGTTTCCTACCATACCTAATCAAACCATATATTTATCACATTTTACCATATGGTAATTACATGAAACCATGTCTTATAAGATCTTACCATATGGTAACGAACTAAAACACAGGAGGACTTATGGTTTTTTGCTATTTTACAACATGAAACCATAGCTTACCACACATTACCATATGGTAACAAACTAAAACACAGAAGGACTTATGGTTTTTTGCTATTTTACAACATGAAACCATAGGTTACCACACATTACCATATGGTAACAAACTAAAACACAGAAGAACTTATGGTTTTTTGCTATTTTACAACATGAAACCATAGCTTACCACACATTACCATATGGTAACAAACTAAAACACAGAAGGACTTATGGTTTTTTTCTATTTTACAACATGAAACCATAGGTTACCACACATTACCATATGGTAACAAACTAAAACACAGAAGAACTTATGGTTTTTTGCTATTTTACAACATGAAACTATAGCTTACTACACAATACCATATGGTAACAAATTAAAACACAGAAGGAGTTACTGTTTCTTGCCTTTTTATAACATGCAATCATAGCTTACCACGCCATACCATGTGGTAACGAAGCAAAACACAACAGATTCTACACCAGTTCAGCAACGCATGCTAACGATTCGGTAATGTAGCGAGTTTTACTACAATTTTCACATGAAGAGTGACTGAAATACTGTTTCTATTATTCTATGGATGGATTTCGAAGAAAGAAGTGAGGTTTTACCTTGATATTTTGTGCGAAAACGATTTTTGAGCCTCGTTGAAGTTGGAAACCCTTCGTTTTTCAACGAAGAAGCGAGAACAGTGAATCGTTGAATGATTCTTCGAAAACCTTTGCGAAAATCGTTGAATGATTCTGTGTTTTCTGAAGTTTTTGGTGCACGATTGGATGAAGAATGGAGAGTTAGAGAGCAGAGGGAAGTGGAACTGTCGCGTGAAAGGTGAGAGAAAGAAGGAAAGAAGGCGGGCACGGTTTAATGTCACGTCTCCTTTTCAAATTGTCAGGTCGAAGATTACTATTTAGCCCCCCCCCCCCCCCCCCCCCCCCCCCCCCGCGTGTAGTTACTTTTGCTTGATCTGACGGTTGAAAAGCGGATGGAATGGACGGTTGATAGGGCGGTTACTGAAACTGAGGGGATCCGGACCCCTAACCTATTTGTAATGATTTATTTGTTCGTTTATGGGAATGTTGTTTTTTAGGAATGCCCTCTCGCTCTCAGCCAGGAGCCCAGTACCACAACATGTTTCAAGTTGAACTGTTCAACTAATTATCTATTATAAGAGTGAATTTTAGTATTTTTGTTATAGATTTTTGTTTTTATGTTATAATTTGAAGTTGTATATTTAACATTATGGTATAACTTCAGATTATACCTATATTCGTTTATAAAATTCTTTTATGGTATAACTTGAACTTGTATAATTATGTGATGGTACAACTTGAAGTTGTACGGACAAAGGTATAAATTTCTTTATAGTACAACCTAAATTTAACGTTATTGTATAATTTCAACTTGTATATTAACGCACCAATGCTTTATAGTAGTAGATCGAAGTGCTCCTATTATAATGCATCAATCGGCTCCATATGCTCAAAGGCCTTTGGGTTCGAGAGTCGCGTATCATTCTGTGGAAGATCAAGCAAAATGACATTTCTATTAATGTTATAACTATAATCCGACGATTGGAAAACAACAAAAGAATTTCATTGATATCAATACACCAATTTATATGTTTAGTTTAGCGAGAGAGAGAGAGAAAAAAAGAAAAAACTAAATTGACCAGACTTTTTAAGCTGTTATTATCCCGCAATGACATCAAATTGCCACCAATGCATAGGATACAATAGTGGAGGGTTGCGAACAACCTTCCTTGCATCGGAAGCAAAGAAAAACGACAAGTCCACTACAGGAAAAAATGGGATAAAACGACAGCTGAAATACAGGCAGCTCCTGACTATAAAATCCCAACATCATTGTCCTATTTTTTTAATTTTAATTCAAAGTTCTTGACGTTTTGTGAGAATCCTTATTAATCAAACATTTCAGAAATCAGAAAATGACTTCTCCTCTGATTTTGTCTTGTCTTCTTCTATCTTCCGTTTTCCAACTTGGAATGCCTTTTTCCTCCCTGAAATTCAAATATATTCAACCTCCTCTTAAAGAAAAAAAAATAATAATAAAAAATGTCACCAACTCTGATAAAACACTAAAATAATAAACACAAAAATAAATAAAAAGAAGGCAACCTTTGTCTAATATATTGTGCCCCTCAATGGACAGCCCAGATCGCTTCACGCGAGCAATAATCTATGCCTGTGTAAAAAGAATATACCTGCCATTGTCTGCAATCCCCTCAAGGGTTTAGCTCTTACCTCTAATTTTCTAAACCTCTGAACACCCTTATCTCAAGTTAACCAATTCAAAGAAAACTGATTGGGACAAGGATCAGGAAGGAGTCCGGCGGCAGCTTGCCAATCTGCAGCCAGCTCTGCGATCACGATGACTGAATCAACCTATAATAAAAGCAACTAGACAGCGTTCTCGCCAACTACCACGGTGAACTTCATCTTAATATATTCTGATTTCTTCAGAAGGTGGAAAATGGAACTCTATATTATAACGGAGCATGAATGGCACAGACAATCCCCCTTCACCAACCTTCAGAAGAGGTCAACTTGTGAGAGCAAGCCCCTGCACCCTGCTCGACTTTCTTCTTCAATCGGGGCTACCCTCTCTGTCTTGTTCCTAGCATAAAATTGCAGTCAGTTTTCTTTGTTAATGCAGTAGATGCTCGAAATACAGCATCTTCTATACGGGAAAAAAATCAGTCTCTAAGAACCTGAGAGACAATTTACGAGTTATAAGTAACAATCTATCATCATAGCAGCAAATTTTCAATGGTGTAATATCCTGACCTTTGATATTACTGAAGAACATCTTCAAAGTTGGGGTCATTTTCTGAGTTCTTTCTCAATCTGCTGTCAACTTTAAAACACTTGAACCTGCTGGTGCTTTCATTTCAAGAGGCTGTACAGAGTGCATATCTAGCATAACCTACCGATCACCCCAACTATAACCAGGAAGCTTTCTTATTTGGTTCTCCCTCATCATATCTCTAATCACGGCTGAACTCTCCCAGTTCCCAGAAGTGGCAAATATTCCAGATAGTTGTGTGTATGCACTAGCATTCCCTGGGTCGAGCTCAATGATCCGCTCTGCCACCTTCTCTCCAAGGTCATTATCTCCATGCGCAACACACCCTCTCAAAACTGAGGACCACATGCAAGCATCTGCCTTAAAAGGCATACGATCAATAAGTTTCATCGCTTCCTCTATCCTTCCAACACGAGCCAGGAGGTCGATCATGCAGGAATAGTGCTCAATCCCTGGGTCAATATTATACCGATGCCTCATCTCATGAAACCATTTCCATCCTTCTTCGACCAATCCACAATGATCGCAGGCAGAAAGAACGGCTGTAAATGTAATCCCGGATGGTGCCACACAGTTGTCTCTCATTGCATTGAAAAGTGTCAGCGCTTCTGTTCCCTGGCCGTTGGTAGCATAACCCATCAGCATCGAATTCCAACATACCGAGTCAAGTTTCACCGTCGCGTCAAATATTTTCCTCCCACTTTCTACAAACCCACACTTGCAGTAGAAATCAACAAGGGAGGTAGAAACGGCAGGATTGGAGTCAAGACCACTACTAGTTGCTCTAGCAAACACCTGCTCTCCAAGTTCAATGGAGGAGACATCAGCACAGGCAATGACAACACTAGCGAGGCTAAACTCATCCATCCTCAACCCGAGCTTATTCATCTCAAGGAAAATATTCAAAGCTTCCATTGGGCAACCATTTTTGCTCAAAGCCACAATCATTGAGTTCCAAGATATCAAGGTTTTGAATGGCATTGTCTGGAAGATATGCTTTGCATCTTCAATTCTACCACAGTTGCTATATATTGTGATCATGGAGTTCAATAAGACTGTATCAAATACTTTGAGCGCAGTAAACAATTTGCATGCTTTGTATGCATTTCCACTCTTTGAGTAAGCATCGATTAGGGCAGAAGCAGCAACAACCTCAGCCATCAACCCAGCTTTACTAGCATATGCATGAATCTGTGTATCAAGATTATAGTTCCCCACAGTACTACAGGCGCTTAATATACTGGCGATTGTGGAGGAGTCTAGCCGAATTTCTCTTGCCCTCATCTGATTGAAACATTTTACTGCTTCCTTGTCGACACCATTGGCAACATATCCAGAAATTAATGAATTCCAAACCACAGTGCTCCGATTACTCGTCTTTTGAAGTAGTCTCTGGGCCTCTTCCATTCTCCCGTGACTAGCATATCCTGCGACCATTGCAGAGAGAGAGAAGTCATCAGGATCCCCCATCGTATTCAGAACCAAATGTGCACTATCTAAATCACCACATTTTGCATAGAAATTAGTCAATGAGCTAGCCATTACTGTATCAAATTCCACACTATTGATTAGAATCCGTGCATGAAGTTGCTTGCCACAGGCAATAGCTCCCAAGTCGGTACAAGCCCTGATAACAGTGGCTAACACAAAACTATCAGTGCTTGATCTTTCATAAGGATCCCTACTCAATGTCCCAAACAGTTTGACAGCTTCAATAGAACGCCCGGTTTTAGCATAACCATGAATCATAGAATTCCATGCCACCCCATCCCTCCTCGGCATCTCGTCAAACAGTTTCCTAGCAGTTCCAACATCACCGTATTTGGCAAGACCAGAAACAACCACATTCCAAGAGTAATCGTTCTTACAGGGCATTGAGTCAAACAGTTCCAGCGATTTTCCCTTGTCCCCGGAGTTCATATAGCCTTCTATCATTGTGTTCCAGGAAAAGCAGTTTCTCTCGGACATTTCATCGAACAGTTTGTGAGCATCACTAAAGCTATCACACCGGACGTACATCTGAAGAAGCCGATTAGCTAGAGAAACAGTCGAGTTAAGGAGACCCTTTTTGAGGAACAGGAGATGGAGCTGTTTGCCTTGACGGATCGATTGAGGGGTGTTAATAGATTGGAGTAAGCGAGCCAAAGAGTGGAGCTCGACATCCATTGAAACCGAAAGACCTGTTCTTGACTTTTTGGAAGAGACCGTTCCTCTAAAAATTAAAAAGTTACAACAACAAAACAAACGGGTAATTATCATAACGGTCACACAATTTATCCGAAAAAGTAAATTAGGATTTTTTGTGAGTAAATACTTACATGGCCCATTGGCCCAAATGCAATTTAACAGGGCCTAGTCGTGACTCGTGATCCAAAGGTGGAGGGAGACAGGCTCATAAGTAAGCCATTGTGAGTTTTTTTATTTGTTTGGCCAAGCTGAGCCACGGAACCTGTACATGTAGTTAGGGATGGAAGTTTGGTTTGCGGGTTGCAGGTAACCCGCAAACCGCACCACACTGCAAATTTTGTGGATGCCCATACCCACAATTTGTGGATAGTAGGTTGGGTGTGGGTAGCAAAATATTGATTTTTATGATTAGTGGTTAACCACTACCCACAACGGTTTACCCACAGAATCCACATTAGTTATATTTATTTCTTCAAAATACTTTGTAACCCACATTAGCTATATTAGTTTGTGAAACATGGAAAACTAAGAAATAAAGTAGTTACCAAAATCAAATACGCACTTATTCTATAAAACAAAATCAAGTCAATACGCAATGTTCATGTGAGATACAATTATCAAATAAGCATTGTCCGTGTGGTATATGTTTATTTTATAATAAAACCAAGTCCATAGATATAATCAGATAAATTAATCGATTCATTAAAAGAGGGGAATAATCGATAAAGGTTAGTCCGATATCCAAACTCATCTCCATTTCTCCACGATACAAAATATAATCGAGAGTGGAGAATAATCGATTCATTAAAAGTGGGTGCCTCCACTTATCGACCCACTTTTGTGTTTTGCTGTTGTTACCATCGGAGCAGCCATGACATGCAACGATGTTTGTTTGGTAACAAGTCACTCCGCCTCTCCGTTATCTTCAAATTTCTTTCGAAATCCATCTCTTCTGAATTTACACTAACTAACCTATTGTATTCGAGATTTATAATTTATGTAATACTTTATTAAATTTTTTTTATGTATGTTTTTGTTTTTGTGTGAGAAGAAACACAACATTACTATTTAATTACCATATTATTATATTTAATGTAAAATTTTTGTGGGTATCCACAACCAACCCTTGTGGATAGCATAATTCTATATTATTTGGTGTGGTTATCCGCAAAATGTGGGGCGGGTAACCACACCCACCCCAATCCACCCCTACCTGTAGTTATCAAAGTACAGAACCTATACTCATAGTTATCAAAGTACGCAGCTCCAAGAACGAATAATAGAAAGACTGTTTAGGGGTTTTTGTTTGTTTGGGATAGGATGGAATTGAAAGTGCAATCTCAACACAAGATAGGAGAAGGCTCAATCAGTATAAAAGATAGAATCTCGACCACAATCAAGGGGAAAAACTTGATTGATGCAAAGAAAAATTCAAGCCTCAAGGTTAAAACCAAGATAAAAATCAATATTCTGCTAAAAACTAACCCTAAAACCCGAGTCTCAACCTTTATATAGGACTGGACAATTAAAAATAACAAAAACAACTTAAAACACAAAAATCCCGTCTCTCATACCCGAAACCTAGTCTAAATTCCCGTTCGGGTATTTTGGGTCAGGTCGGGGAAGTTCCCTGGACGGAATACCCGCCCTTCCCCCTGATTTTCCGGGTCAGGTATTTTAGGTCTCGGGTGGGGAAATTCCCTAGACGGAAAACCCGCCCTTCCCCTTGATTTCCCCGGTTGGAGAATTTGTCCGCCCTAAAAACCCGACCGCTACAGCTGCTAGAGCCGCCAGCTCCTTGCCACATTGTCTTCGTCTTGCCCCCGTTGAAGCCGCCATTGGCCTCGCATCAGTTCGAGTGGGTTGAATCTGGTTGATAGAACCTGGTATTAGGGTTCTATCGGTCTGGTAGTGAGATTGGGAATTAGGGATTCAGAACAGAATTTGAGATTTGAGAAGAGAATGATAGAGAATCGGCCTAGGCCTTTAGAGAGATTGGGAACGAGAATTGAGAGGATTGGGAGAATAGGGTTTAGGAAGGCTTTTCTTAATATTCTTGTTGACTTACTCTGAATAAAACGCTAAGTACATATTTATAACGAAAGACTCGAAAAACCTAATAGACTATCCATATCTATTAATATTCTAATTAGGGTTATAGGTATAATATGCCCCTCTACTATGACGTTTTATCAAACATGCCCCTCTACTATTTTTTACATCAAATATGCCCCTGTACTTTGAAAAAATTATCAAATTTGCCCTTTTGTTAAAATTTCGATTGAAAAAATCGTCAATCATGGTTGAATTGAGATTTAGACGACCTGACATCGACAAATGGGAGGGAAAATGTCAGTTTTGTCCCCTGTTTTATTTCCCTGGGTCTTCTCAAAGTGAAATTATTTGAATGATTTGATTATACAAAAGAACCAAAAAATTCTAAAGTGAATTTATTAGGGATATTTTAGTCATTTGTGTCGCCCAAACTATAATTCGGCCTTGGTTAACGGTTTTTAGATGAAAATTTTAACAAAAGGGCATGTTTGATCATTTTTACAAAGTACATGGGCATGCTTGATGTAAAAAATAGTAGAGGGGCATGTTTGATAAAACGTCATAGTAGAGGGGCATATTATACCTATAACCCTTCTAATTATAGTAATAATAAAACCTAATAGATATGGTAGAATAAAACTTCTACCATATCTAATAATATTTTAATTATAGTAATAATAATTATTATGATAAATCCCAAGAATTGAGTTTCCATCATCCCCTCCCCCTTGAGACCAACCATGCCTTCAAGGTTGACCGACTCGACCCATTTCTTGACTTCGCCCGCGCAATCCGCGCTTTGTCCCCTCCACTCCTTGCGCTTTCTTTTCTTCCAAGCATGCTCTAACTCTTCACTTAGACTTCGTGCACCACTCTTCTCGTGTGGACCCAACTTTTCGAATTTCGCTTTCATCGGCCCACTATTCGCTTCCTTCTTGTACGAGAGTCCATCCGTGAACATCAACCCATCAAAAACTTCAACCTCCATGTTGATGACCCATGCAAGTTCATTCTCAACAAGAGGCCGAAACACCACCCATTCCCTGGATATTATATTCCTTGGACCAAGTCCATCCACTTGCTCACTTGCCTCTTCAACTGCTTTTGGGTCGTGTTCTCCAACAAGTCCACCTTCAAAGTCAAGGGAATGGTCTTTCCAAGTCATTAAGCCCACTCCATATAAAAAAGATCTAACCAAGGGGCCCATTTGAAGCCCAAGTCTCCTTTGAAAACTTGATTCATCTTTTCCTTGAACCCAACTGTCCTTTTTATTATTTAGCCAAAACCCAAACCACTGATCCGCCCTCATAACTTCCTGGTCCGACCCATAAACCAACTTTAACTCGGTCTGCTTCATTCCCAACCGAGGCCCACTACACTGCTCTTCTTGGCCCGAATGCGGCTGTGTGGCGCTACTTAACAGAGGGTTTTCGAGGAGAGAGCTTGCACCCTCCGTCATCTCTTTGCTCACCGGGCTCTGACCCATTAGTGCAAGCCCGCTCCACTAGTTCGCTCGGCTCGCGATACCCTGCACCAATTGAAGCACGGGTGGCAACCCAGGGTTTGGAGAACGAAAGCTTCGCCCGCCGCCCTCGTTTTCTTTGCTCGGCGGAGGCCTCCTCTCCCTCGTTTCTTCCTCCAATGGCAAACGACCCTCCAGGCGGCGACGATCCCAGCTCGATCCCATCTCGGTGACGATCTTCGGCGACTCACGAGAAAGACCGTCGCAATCTCTTTCATTTTCCCTCTCCGGCGAGGGTCTACGAATACGACGGTGCTCCTCCTCCGGCTTCAACTCCAGTTCCACCTCCACCGCCGAGTTCAGCCCAACTGGCTCCACTGGCGACGTTTTCTCCCTTCACAGGAGTCGCAGTCTCGGCGACTCGACTCAATGGCCACGAGGAGCGCCCAAAGTCGGCCTCGTCTTCTCGGTGGTCGGGCTGCTTCCTTGCTGACCAGACAGATCCGTCGCTTCTTTCCTCACCCCCAGCACTTCCTCTCCCGGTGGTGATCTCGCCTGCATATCATTCTTCTTCTCTACAAGCTCACCTCCCGTCGACTTCGTCGCTCCTCTTACTGGCGACGTTTCCTTGAAAGGCTACAGCTTCTCACGACGCGGCTCCGACGATGATTGAGGCTTCCCTCGTTCAACTCGCGGCTCCGGCGAGCCAATCCTCTTATGTGACGATTGGAGCTCGCCATGAATAGTGAGAGAGAGCGTGCCGCCTCCAACTTCTTTGTTGTCCGGTAATTCCTCCCAATCAGTCGATGATACTAAAGGAACATACGCCAGTCGTTGATTGTCTCGTGCCGCCCGTAGCTTCGTCAAGTCAAGCCCACGGTGCGTCGCCATCTCGGCTCCGCATTGGTCATTGGCAGCGCGGCCCTTCTTCTCTGGCGAACAGGTTGTTGTCGCCAGTTCTGTTGCATATGCTCCCAGCCACCTTCCGTCGGACCTCAGCTCATTCTTCTTAAATTTCCACCCATCCGTTGACCGCCTCAATGAGAGTGACGTTTGTCCAAGCGTAGCATCGCCAACAGTTGCTGGATTTGGCGTCTTCTCCGACGATGCGATGGCAGGAGAAGCTTTTGACGTCATCTCCGGCGGAATCTCGGTCATCTTTTGATCCGCGTGCGAGCCGTTGAACATGCTCATCGTGGCGGGGTTTTCTCCCAGGTCTTCTTTCTCGTTTATCATCGCCGAGGTGAGGTGGTCGGATGTCGGGGTAGATCTCGGGGGTAGATGTTGTTCGGTGGTGGTCAGGGTTGTGGTCGGCGTCTGTGAGACAGGCAGCCCTGTGAAAATCATCGAGAGCTGCTGCGGATCGCCAAGAATTGTGGCGGCGAGACCTTCTTCTTCCCCGGCAACGACGCCAAATACGATGGGGATTTTCGTCGCAGGTGGTGATTCGACGGTAGTGACCCTTCTGCTAATTACGGCTAGGATTCGTGATAACTCTACGTCCCGCCGCTTCCAGTCTGCCTCTCGTTTGATCATGATGGCTTCCAGCTTGCAAAGGCACTCGTGGAGCACGCGATGGTGGTCCCCGGGTGAGAGTCGTGATGAACTCCGATT